AAAATAAAAAAATGGCAGGTATATAAAACAGCTGTAGTTTTTGAAAATAAAATCTAGAAGTAATTTCACCCATCTGAAGAGGTAACAATAAGGCCAAGATCTTTGATGTGACCATATCAAGTGAAAGGTTTGTCTTACAACTGAGATCTCAGTTAAACTGCGAACTTAGATCAATTTGTCGTAGTTATGACTGAAGGCCTCACTTCCTGTTCAGAAAGCAGTGGGAAAAAAACCTAGTACCGGTTGCTACTTTTGCCCACTTGAATGCAACATTGAAAATTCCCTTACACATAAGACAACATGGGGCTCACGTTAATCACGAGAAAAAGTTACAAAATAACCAAATGAGAAAACCAAAATGCCATTCAATTCTCAATCAAATTATTCAGCAAAGGCTCTGAAGTTGACATAAGTACGATCTTCATTCGAAGAGGCACTAAGTTTTGGAAATATGAGCTGTGTAATGCGTGTTCCAAAACAATCCAGGTAAGAGGCTTCAAGAATAATTTATAACAATGCGATGTTCGTATTGCAATGTTTCTGTTAATTGTAAATCTCTCAGCGGCTCACAGCCGCTTAGTAATATACGCACAATATTGCTGAAAACAACACGGATCTCGGAATTGATCAGTCGATCAATTGATCATTCACTCGATTTGAAATGGGCGGAAGTCCTGACCAATTAAAAACTGGAGAAAGGAGATCATAATTTTCATTCACATATCATCTATGCTGCAATAAAATAATTTGTGGCACACTTCGTGGAAGCACATTCCACGTTTCAAATTACAAGCTTGAAAATTTGAAATTCAGCCGTGAATTGAAACCAAAACTTAAAAATGAAACTGTCACATCGATCTTCGGGTATAATTCGAGCTTACCTGTGAGATCTCATTGTTATATACGTGTTCGGAATCCAACCTTCTCGATCGTCTTGTTCTGCTTTATACCAGTTTTTGTCCTCGTCTTTGTCTAAGATCTGAAAACAGATGACACTTGGCTTCAAAAGTAATTTGAAACAAAGACTTAACACCTGAAAGTTGACTTCTTATAAATTCTTCGAGTTCACAAACACACAAGGAAACCCTCTTTACATTTAGAACGCTGCCTTTTTCGAAGGAGAGTTCGTCATCTTGAGTAGCAGTAAACTTATATTTCGCCACAGCCTCCATCGACAAATCGTTCTGTCCTCAACCAGCAAAACGAGCCACTGCAAATGTAATGGATCTAGTTTAACATCGCCAAATTATCAACATAACATGGTGATTTAACTGCTCATCTTCGAAATGACATACGCAGGAAGTGGACTGTGCCTTTTAATACAAACAACTCGTTACCAGGCAAAATCGGCCATAAACACGATTTCCTTTTTTAGCAAAAATTCAATTTAATCCCACGAACTAAATTTGTTAGTAACCAGCTGGTAAACAGCTTCAAGATCTCGTCATCAAAGGTTAAATGTCTCACCCAGAGAATTTTTTCAAATAAAATATCGCACTGGCTCAGCTTTTTGATATTATTCTGAATAATTTTTATTTTTTGTCTCATTGCATATTGATTGAGTGGGCATGACTTCCGGTTCGGAAAGGGCAAGTGTCGTGTGGACGAAGAATTAAACAAACAGCACAACACGATGTCGGTCTACTTTCTAGAACATAGGAATCGCATGGGGTTGTCTCTGTTACTTGTGCTACCATGTATGGTGTGCCTTGGATCGCAATATTTTCCAAAGGTTTTGCTGCTTGTCCCTGAAAAGGTCAAACCGAATATGGTGTGGGACCGATGAGGAGCTGAACCAAACGAAAGCTCAATCACTAGTAGTCGAAATTGGCAAGCCCTACTTTCAAGATTTAAAAAAAGGGTTTTTTGAAAATATTCATTCAAGTTTTAAGCGAAATATATGAGATCTGATGAAAAAGATTATCCGAAGAATAATTCAAGTTCAAAGGGAAAAATTAACCCCCAACTTGTTACATGAGAATCTAATTTATGTTATTTTTTATAATTCTATCCCTTTGCATGTATATATCATTTAGGCCAATCTCTTCCACGTTCCATGAGGATGACGTGAAGTCATCGAAACCTCGTGCGAAGTTTCCTTTGTTAAATTTCCCATCGAAACTCTAGAAGGGTGGAAACAATTAAGGATAGAACTGACTCGTAACTGGTCTGATCTGAGACATCCCTGAAAAACAGAAATCTCTTTGCGAATGGGCAAGTATGACATAACTGTTGACTCTTCTGCAGGGATTTTGTGTCGAAGGCACGATAAGAAACACAGCTATCGCGGTTACTATGCGACAACCGGCAGTGGTCAACACTCCTGGCTACTTTCTCAAACTGAAAAAAGTCTACAGTCTTCCGCTCTATGATGGTCCCAGGAGTAGAGTGTAACAGGAAAAAATGATTTTTAAGGGTGACGTTCGGCTACGGAAATGCGTCTGTAAAAGCCTCGCTAATTCTCAAAAAGGCAACAACAAAACAGCAGACTAAAAGTAAACGAAGGGTAATTATAGGGGGATTTTTTTTATATTACACCTAAAGAAAATCTAGATGCAGAAGAAAAGGAACAGGGAAAAGGGAATGAGTAAGAAACTCGTTCCTCCCCTTTTTGTACCTCAGTGAGCTAGCAAAAAGTTTTGGAATTTTGGTAGACGAACCCGAATCTGAGAAAAAAATCAATCGATCGCATGACAGACGCAAACAAGTCAGAATAACATCGTGTTGTAGCTCCTTTGATTATGCCTCCTCGATAATACCTCTCTATTGTTGCAAATTCTAAAGACAGAGAATAATATGTACCCTTGCAACAAGGGAGTGGTCTGTCTTTTACAGCAAAACAACGACAACAAAAACGATTGCTTTCTTCTTGGCTGGGCTTGTCTCGCTGGGCACGTGCTCCAAAATTGCGGCGGCGAAGAAGAGTTAAGAACAATAGTTAAGTTCAATCCTCATCGTGCCCCTAGGCACGTAAGGCCATACAGGCCTGAGGTACCAAAGTTAACTCAAATTCAATCACGAAATCTGGTATCATACACTTGTGTGCAAAGCGAAAACAAGAAAACCTGAAAAGATTTAGAATGACTGATTTTATTCGCATCCGGTTTCTTAATCATAATACAACATTACCCACTTCCATTAAAGGTCGCCCTGAAAACAAATTGGAACGAAAAAACCCAGCCTAACTGAAATTTTGAATGACAGCTCCACGCAGCATTCATCTGATCCTTGTCCTTAGTCCATTTCATAATTCGAAACCTTCTCATACTTAAAATACCATTTCATAAAACTAAATAAATTCAAATAACCTTAAATCATAAAGTGAATCATCATGTGGAAGAACGTCGAAAAGAAAAAACTACTAACGATGTACTTAGAAACGTTATCGAATGTAAGATATTTCAGGTTTGAAACGTCACAGTCGAATCGAGAGAATGTAAAGAAGAATGAAATACCACAATGGTGTTGAAGTTTCTCAAACCAGTCCTTCATCGATCATTGCCTGAGCCACTTTCACAAATCCACCGATGTTTGCTCCTTTCACGTAATCCACGGATCCATCTGGCCCAGTGCCGTACTCCACACACTGTAGGTTGACTTGCTTCATAATGTAATGCAATTTGGCGTCCACCTCTTCTCTCGTCCAAGCACTTCTAAGGCTATTTTGGGTCATCTCCAAACCGGACACTGCCACGCCTCCGGCGTTCGATGCCTTCCCTGGACCGAACAGCACCTTGTTTTTCTGTAACACTCTCACCGCTTCGGGCTGTGTTGGCATGTTAGCACCTTCAGCCACGCATATGCATCCGTTCTTGACCAGTTCCTCGGCGTCTTCTTTGCTGACTTCGTTTTGTGTGGCACACGGAAGAGCCACATCGCATTTAACACCCCAGGGCTTCTTTCCTTCCAAGTAAGTCACGCTGTAAGTTTTAGCGTACTCGCTAATCCGACCACGTTTGACATTCTTCAGCTCCAGTACATACACCAACTTCTCTGGTGTGATGCCGTCTGGATCATGAATGGTTCCCGCTGAGTCTGACAAGGTTATAACCTTGGCACCAAGTGCAGTTGCTTTCTCGCACGCGTACTGGGCGACGTTTCCAGAGCCAGAGATGGCCACCAACTTGCCTTGGATGCTGTCGCCTTTAGAAACAAGCATCTCTTGAACAAAGTACAGAAGACCATAGCCAGTGGCTTCCGGCCTCAGTAGGCTCCCTCCCCACGGAATTCCTTTCCCGGTCAGCACGCCAGTAAACTCGTTTCGAATCCGTTTGTACTGCCCAAACATGTACCCTATCTCTCGCCCCCCTACGCCAATGTCCCCAGCAGGGACATCCGTGTTTGGGCCCACGTGCCTTTGGAGCTCGGTCATGAAAGACTGGCAGAAGCTCATCACTTCGCTGTCGGTTTTTCCCTTAGGATCAAAGTCAGAGCCACCTTTTCCTCCACCCATAGGAAGAGTTGTAAGACTGTTCTTCAGGATTTGCTCAAATCCTAAGAATTTTAAAATTCCTAAATTGACTGATGGATGGAATCGAAGACCGCCTTTGTAAGGGCCAATGGCGGAGTTGAACTGTACTCGGTACCCACGGTTCACATGAATGTTACCTTTGTCATCTCTCCAAGGAACTCGAAAGATTACCACTCTCTCTGGCTCGACCAACCTTTCCAGGATGTTATGTTCATTGTATTTGGGATTTTCTTGAAGAAAATCCCACAATGAGCAAACTACTTCTTCCACTGCCTGGTGAAATTCGTCCTCTCCTGGGCTTCTTGTTTTGACGTATTTCAAGAACTCTTCGGGCGAGGCATACTTCCCTGCCATTTTACTGCAAAAATAAAACACAAAAGTGAAATTTAGTTTTCATGCTTTGTGTTCCTCCTGAGATGATGGGTGTTGAATCGATAGGTCAATGTCAGTATCTGAGCAACTGCGCACCTACCCCTCCTCTAATCCAACAACAGTCACTTAACTAATAACAAGTTTAAGCTGATATTGGGTTATGGGAGGGGAGGGGTAGGCGTGTAGTTGCTCATATCGATCGAATTCGAATTCGAACATTCTAAAACAATTTAGAGTCGAGCTTAATCGATACAAAATGACAGACCGCGGACAATTTCAACAAGGAATCACTCTCCGCGCTTTCATGGGTACACTAAAAAAAAACCTCGAACGGCGAGGGCTTAGTTACAGTTTCTTGGAAACCGCTGACATTTACGATATTACTACTTTGTGCATGCAAGTAAGGAAGTGTCTACTTCTGTGCAAGAAGCATATGAATTGGGTTGAAAGATACCTATTTAATGTAAAAGAACAAAATGAAAGCAAGCCTCAAAAAGACATTTTTAAGTTAAACTTCTTAGACGTATACAGTCAAACTTGTATTGAACACGAAGTCTAGAAAACTATAATAAGGGATTAATATGGAATAAGGAATAGAATTCTTGACATGCGATGGATGTGAAGATGAATACGTATTGAAATATATCACCTCAACAACGAATGAGGCTGACTTCTTCGCTAACGTAGCCAGTATCATTTTTTAAAAGATGTGCTCTTCTAAACACTAACCTTTAGAATGTGTTTTTTAAGGATCACTATATAAAGCTGCTCTCCCCGGAAATCTTTTATGTTTGTGTTCTGTCGATTTGTAGATGAAGCGCGTATATTCTTATTCTTGCCGGCATAGTCAGGCAGATGATAACCTTCAGGTTGTCAACCTCGTTGCCAGGACTTTTCCCTCATATGGGGGCAGGGTCCTGCCCCCAAATGAGGGAAAAGTCCTGGCAACGAGGTTATCAGATTATGTCTTCGTCAAGAAGGAAAGTCAAGAAATTTTATTGACACTCTCACGAAAAGATCGGAGCGAAAACATCATTCCTAATCTCGTGCTTAGATGCTACCTTATAATTGTAACTGAAATGCATGGACCTTTGCTATGGGAAAACTTAGTAATTTTCCCGCGTTTTTTTTTTTTTTAGACATATTTATTCGTAAACTTTTCATATTTAATCGTTTCCGATTCATTCGAGTTCATTCAGGTTTTTTCGTTCTAGTACTTGGAAAAAAATATAGAAAAGCCAGAATAGGTTTTTTTTTAAATACTCAAATAATACATTTTCCTTTTGTTGCTTGCCTTCCTTGTATATTTGCATGTCGGTATTTTTGTTGACCATTTGTAGGTAAATGTGTGTTAACCGACTTTCTGAAAAATTGGTTCTCATCGTAGTTGGCAGTTGAGTTCGTGCTCGTAATTTCACTTTCCTTTCACAGAACAACTGATTTATCCACATCTCGTAGATGAGTGGAAGCTTTTCACTTGTATTTCCTAAGCTGCTCTACCGTAATAAAGATAGGTATTTTAATATCATATCTGTGAATTTATTTGCTCTTTAAAATGGCCTTGAGTTTGATGTATCCGTTTACTTAGTTTTGAAATTCTTTCCGCCGTAGAAACAGATGGAATCGCTAAGAGTCAATTTCCGCTCTTTGGTGACCTTATTCAAATATTGCAATTTGCGTAAAAATAGCACCTGGCACCCTTTTTCGATGACATTGTTTACTGAGTGGCGATTACACTTTTAAGTCCGCTGCTATTCATGTATGCACATGCTCATTCTGAAGTTGCTCCATTATATTTATCAGTTATTTCTACTTAGGCCCTCCACAGACTAGGGATTTAGTTGTCGACAACTACTTGTGATCGACAACTAAAAGCTATCGATGAAACAGTTGCTATGGCGCTATGGCGATATGGAGCATGGGCAGTAAGCTCTTCATGCCCAACCTCCCCGCGTATCGGCTGCTAAATCAGTAATAGAGCGCCAGTGTGTGGAATCCTCTATCGGACTTATTTAATTGTCGATAACTTTTAGTGGTCGATCACAAATAGTTGTCGACAACTAAAATCCCTAGTCTGTGGAGGGCCTTAGTTAAGTCCCCGGCTTAGAACTCGTTACGTATACCGAGAAAATACATGCGACTCACGGCGGGATATCCCGCCGTGAGTCACATGTATTTTCTACTCCAGGGTGTTGCATAACATTTGAATTCATTCAATTTTAACGTAAAATAAATCCGTTGCCTGGATAATTCACGTCGTTCGGAAATGTATAAACCAAGAAGACGTGACCCTCGTGTTTAAATAAATAGATTACTTACATGTTTTGAATGAAAAATGTTACTCCCAAACTCAAGACCCAAAATTTGATTATTCTGTGTTTTCGCACCAAAGTCCTTCGTTGTCTCACTGAAAAGACGGCCGGGTTACCCTGAGCTAAAACAACTTCATAATTAAGTACTGAGGATCCCTCAGGAACGCAAACAGTTTATACGTTGGTAAAGAAATATATTCTAACCTTTGCAAGATATCTCTGACAAAATTTCCTGCAAAGCTGCACGTTAGCTTCTCACGTAAGCGCTGTGTCCTATTCAGACAGCCGAACTAATCACAAAAGCATAAATGCATTGTTACGAATCATATTACTGTCATTCTTTCCTTCTCAAAGGGACATTGTTATTTCAATGATAATATTTGCATATCGTTTTGACCTTCTTCGACGGTGATCAAAGTCCAGCTTACTAAGCTGCACAATTCTCTTTCAAAAGTCGCAAAATATTCACGATTCTGAAATTAACTATCGGCTAAATGGCTAACACTAACAAATTTTCACAGTCTTACATTCTTAATACAAAAATGCAAACGGAGTAAAAGTTTGACATTTGTCAGACATTAACGCTTGGCTCCCGTAAAGGGTGGTGTGATCACAACAGTGAAATCCCGCCCGGACAAAATGACAACACCCCGTTACTGGACTGTTGTAACATCCTTCTTGTGTTTTTGAGCATGGAAGTGAAAACGAGCTCCTCGTCCTTTTCACGAATGGAACATTCGATTCGAATGAAATGGATAGTTGAAAAAAACGCACATTCGTAGGTTGTTGATCACGCGATTATCGGCCCGTTAAAGCAGCGATAAGTAGTTAAATTTGGTAAAGTAGTAAATTAATGTTTAGCCTAGCCAAATTCCGTTTTATTCGACTTGCTTGCCCATGCAATTAAAATGCACACTGACATTAGGACCATTCGAAAAGATCAATCGGCCATGTGCCAACATCAGAATGAATACGCCAACTTCGCTGTGTAAGGCAGAATTTCAGTTAAAGAAGCTGTGAAATAGTTTGCTATGGCAGAGACCTGGTAGCTCACCGTTTGGTATTTTTTCCTTGTCCTCACCAGGTACAGAGAGAGCTAAGCATTTACCCGGCTGCCGCTTGAGACGACGCTAGATGTAAACATCCACGTGTTCACTTCCTATTTCAAAATAGTACGTACGTCACGCAATATTTCAGGACCAACGAATAGAAACGATCATCTCATGACAGAACAAGAAAAGCATACTGATGAAAGATCTGCCTTCAGAAACTGGCAAATTTTAAACAGGAACTTAAAAATGAGATTTCATGGATTAACCGAAAATTTTATCATGAAAAGAATCTAAATTCTTGGAATACAGCCGTAAATAAAGGTAAAGGTGCTCATGTTGTGCAATTGTGCGTGTCGCATCAAAGACCCTTTCACGGATCAACCAGAAAATAAAACTGGTTTGTTACATCTCTCAAATAAACGAAGCTGAAAGAGATTAGTCGTTGTCCCTCTTGTCTGACTAAAAGGCTTTTTCTAATCGCAAATGTTCGTTCGTTTGTTTGTTTTTTTTTTGTGGAGTCCACGCGATCATTGGCAAAACTGAAGTCAAGACGCTATTTAGATAAACCAACTTACTCTAGTTTTTTTCTTCTTATCTCACGAATAATGGACCTTGCCTGGTGTGGCTTACAAGACAAAGATGACCCTATTCTATTAAACGTCGATTTAATCGCTCTTGTATCATTTATCGTCTACGATCTGGGCCTCTTCATAAATAGCAGGTGTGGTTTAATGTATTGAAAACATAGTAAAGGTTCTTGTGCCAAAGTTAGTAATTTTACTGTAACTACTGAACGGTGTGAAAGTACTGAAATCAAGCGACACGACTGAACCAGCTTATTTACATACTTGATTGACGAAAAAAGACAATAGGAAGCAATTGAATTAGGGTGTCTCCACCAAGTGAAAACACAACTGTGGTCATTACTCTTCTACGTGCGTGTAAATAAGCCCTTTCAACCCCCTACTGAGTGAAAATGCAACTGTTTTATCACATACTGTCGAAGCCACAATGGCTAATTTTCATACATAAGAGTAACAATACAAACCACCATTGGTTGAAGGCCAATACATCGAAATATTATAGCAGCGAAAATTGGGTGGTCATGTGGTTTCTCTTCTCAGCCCCATTTCTAGACGAAACGGTAAACAAGATACACCGGTACCAACTAGCGTCCCACGGCAGGTTAAAGTATATACACCAGAAACCCAGGAGAAAGATGGAGTACCTACTTTTAAAATGATCATAATGGTGGAAATCGTGTCACGTGCACGCGCGTGCGACGAGCCAACTCTAATAATTACGACATCGGCACACGTAAATAGAAGAGAATCACGATTTAATTTTAAAAATCGTTGACGACAAAATTTCTGAAAGATCCCCTTGTCCGGCCAACTCTTCATTCTTCATCCGTTTCATTCTTGAGAAGGCACGTGAAAGCAACTCTGATAGTAACAAAGATAAAAACCACGAAAGTCTTTAAAGCGCAATTTGCATTATATATCATCTTCATGCCATGAAATGTCTGAACTCGTGAATAACGCATTATAATGATTAATCCACATTTGCCTAAAAGCCACCCAATGCCTTATGATGGATAAGTTATGGGCGAAATAATTTTTGCATAAGGCGTAGGGTGAGCCGAAAGAAGAATTGGTCGGCGTCGCTGAAGGGGAGGACAGTGGGAAAATTTGCAGAGACTGTAGCATCACAAGACTTGCGAGAAGCGTGAGATTTTGCATGCAATGGCGTATAAAAGTCTTGAGAATTTCCCTGGGGTCTTCTTCGGCCAATAGCATCTCTGCCACGAGAGTGCGGAGTTGTCCGATTTACTAATTCGACATGCGGCGGCTTTTATGTGAGTGAGAAGAAATTTCAAATACCATTAACTGCCCGAATAAAAAATAATTAATAAATATCTTACTTTTGAGCTTTCAAATTTTCTTAGTAAATCTTAGAAAAAAAGAACCAATGACAAATAGCTATTATTCATTGTCTTTCTTTGGCTGGTCTCAGGACTGTCTCACAACACAGCAAAGATGCCATACAACACTCCTTGCCAGTAGATTGAGTGGCCTTCCAAACAACCAAGACCAACCAAGTCATAGTAGAGACCTTATTGGAGAAATCTGACTATCGATAAACTGCGCAACCTTTCCCTAGTGACAACACAATATATTCGTTATTCAGCGAGGAACTTTCCTACATTTCTCCTAAAGCAGTAAGCTGGGGTAGGAAAAAGGCATTGTCACTTTGTTGATGCCTTCATTCTCACTGTTGGGTGAAAGCAAATTTTGATCTGTTGATACTATTGTTGAGCTAGTCCAGGGACTGTAGCTATATCCAGGCCTGCAAGAAAATCTTCTTCGCATCAGTGATCTCCATCAACATCCAGCTGCAACAGTTTGTTTGTAATGGTATTGACTGCATTTAGTGTTGGTGAATTAGGAAAAAAATCTATAAAGGCTTGACCATCTTCTAGGGATTGCGTTAAACTTGGATCCAGTGGAATAGACCCTACAACAATGATAAACACAATTAGCAATGAAAGGTAAAGTGTACCTGATAGATGACAAAAATTGAGAAAGGCATACTTTGGAAGCAATACAGCAACTTATAGAGTCATAGGAATGCAGGGGTTTCAAAATATTTTGAAGTAGGCGGCCAACTCTGGAAAAGTAGGCGGCTGTGGTAACACCGAGATTCTTTGTCACAAGCAACATACAATCAAGTAGCCGGTGGAACTCCGGCGGTCGCCAGCTTGTTTTGAAACCACTGGGAATAGTTTGAATTTTAAATAGTGTAACCATCTACAGCATCAGATAACATGGGAGTGATTACAAGTGAGACCTTAAGATATAAAATTTAACTCAATGATGAAAATTTTGAAGACTGAAGTGATCATAGAAGGCGGTTTAACTACACCAAGTCCAACAATATAAAATAAAAGATTGAAAATAAAATATCACCTAAAAATGGAATTTTGCAGTTCTCTGCTAATGCTTCTCCCCCTCCTTTTGAAAATACATTTGTACACTCCTAAAACACAAGAAAATTTTTGTGAAACAATAATATTGTTATGAAGATGTCTTGACATCAGGAGACCTGGCAGACAAAAGGACTTACACTACAGTGAGGACAGACGAATCCACTCATGTTCTCCACCACACCCAAGACTGGGATCATTGTCTTTTGGCAGAATGTGAGTTCTCTCCTTACATCATTAACTGCTACTCCCTAAAGTATTACAAATTAAAGCAATATCAATGATAGTTTTTGCTCCATAATTATTTCTTTGTTTGTTTAAAGGAAATAAAGGGGGTCAGCTAAAGGTAAAAGAGAAATTCAGCATCTCAAATTATAACCTTTGACCTCTCACAGTGACCAGCATCTAATTTCTCCTTACATTATCACCCCTAGATCACACATTTAAGGTCACAAGAATAAAGGACATGATCACAAACTGAAGAAATGCTTGATTGTTAGACAAATTCTCCTTGTCAGCACCTTAGGCAATGCACAGAGAACAGTATGGAGAATATGCATACTGGTGTCAGGTTGTAAATGGTTCAGAGTAGCACCTACCAAAAAACAAGATTTAGGTGACAAATTGGTTTCATCAAAGAGGTGGTGTCTTCCCAATGTAATCTACCACCCTCTATTTAACTGTTGCATGGCACAAAGTGAGTCTTCATTTTTCTATGATAACTTTACACTATACCAAAGTTAACATTATACTCACAATGCTTTCAAATGAAAAAAAAAAAAAAAGGAAAAAGTGCTATTAATCCCCTAACTCTGTCTTTTCCAACATGACCAATATTCTTACCTTTTAGTTAAGTCTACAAAAAAACAACATTAAATATAACCATTTGTACCTGAGGGGTAGTAACAAGTATGGCTCCATCTGGATTGTAGTGTCGCAAATTCTCTACAACAGTTATGTGCTCATCAGATGTCCCTTAAGTTAAAAAAGTTGTCTCAGTGTATCCTTTGAGTTCTCTCTGCCTCTGATTTTTTTTTTCTCTTATCCCCTCCCTCAAAAAAAATCCTTATTATCAGACCATCTTGATTTTCTTTGGCAGCATCATTAACTAGAAATTCAAGCAATCCTTAAAACCACAGCAACATGTCTAGCCAAGGCAAACTTTTGGTTTTCTTGACTGTAAATGGGTGACAAAATTACCAGAGGGTATGAAAGTGTTTATATGTGACAAGTAATTAAGCCCAAAATTACTGTGAAATGTGAATTTTACAGAAAGGCAAGATAGGGTGAGATTTGGAGTTTTTCCTTTTAAACTAGTGTTGTTTGAAAAATGGTTTAAAGTTCATGCGACACATCCCTTTTTTGGAAGTTTGTAAATGAAACAGGATTAGGAACCCCTGCCTCCCTTTGCAACCTTTTACTTGTGACCAAGACATTTTCATTGTATCCTCAAACAGCCAGAAATTCATAATCAAAATCATATGTAATATGATTAAAAACCCCAATTGGTAGAAGCCAACCCAGTTGGCAATTAGCAAGCATGGTCAAGCAGTGGAACTAGGAACTACCAGTAACCAGAAATGAATCTAATCAGTGGTAAGAGAGGGACTGTAGGACCCCTGGATTGTAAGTTCAAACCTCTCTTTACTTGACAATGCTGCTTCCTCCAAACAATATCGAAAGCAGACAATCTAATTGTGATGGGGAAAAAAATGAAGTCCTATTCAGGGCTCAACACTTATGGTAGCCAACTAGCCACAGACTAGTAGAAATTCAGTTTTGGCTAGTAGTTTTTTTTTTATTTCAATGAGCCAGTTTTGGCTAGTAGACAAACTGAAATTGTTGTAACATCTAAGTTGTCCTAGCCACTTGGCTAATAAGCTGAAAAGTTAGTGTGGAGCCCTGTCATTGTGTGACAGATAACAGAGATTTCACTGCTTTGTACCTGGTGGTGTGTCAATCACCAGATAGTCCAGCTCACCCCAACACACATCTGATAGGAACTGCTTGATCATTGCTATATACAAGAGGAAAAAAAATTACCGGTGTTTTTTATCATACCTGCTTTAGTGATAGATATTCCCCATCGACCATAGAAAAGAAGCTAGTTCATCAAATAATTTCCTGAAGTTTTTGCTGGTAGTTTGAAAGCAACAAAATTATTCATATACTCCTGTGTGGAGAGGCTATACAAATGTTTGATCCAAGAAAACAAAATAATCACTCCAGAGGCCCTATCAGGGTTTGTCAGGATACAGAACATTAGTAAAAATTTCTAGGGATATCCAACTAGAATCATAGAGAATCAAATCACAGGAATTCAAAGGATATGGGATTTTAAGGTCAAAAATTAGTAGGATACTCATACCTCCCCCCCTGGAGTCCCCTTCCACCCCCGCTGGGGCCCTGTAGTTAAGCTTGCCAGTTAATCCACTTTTTAGGAGAGTGTAATGATGACAAATTAAAGTATTTCAAAAAAAGGGACAAAATACCATTTTTCTTTGGTCCTCTCCATACCACAGCATCATCTCTGCTATTTAACAGGAAACCTATAGACATGACTGCAAGTCTTTGGTCCTTGTCTGTATAAACGGGAACCCAGCTAAAAAAAATAGATGGGTATTACACTGAGAAGACATTGTTTCAAAGAAAGTTTCAGTTGACAGTTACCTCCTTGATAATGACAAGGCACAAGGAACAGTCATGTTACCAGATTCAACTGTTCATGGGTGTGGCTCTTATTCAATTGGAGGCACCAAATTTAAAGCTACACATTTCCTTAGGGGGGGCTTCCAAGTGTAAAGGTATCAAACATTTTAATATGTCTATAAACTCTCTCTTTTCAGCTCAGGAAGGAAACTTCACAGAAACTTTCGAGTTTGCTGTTTTATATCAAACTTCTTGAAAGAACATGAAGTCACTCCACAAAAGTTACTCATGAAGGAGCATGAATTCCCTGTCATTTTTTTCTGGATATCCCCTTATGTTTCTAAACTGACCGTCTTATGTACCCTACAGTTGGCTGATGACACAAGTCAGCCTGAAAGAGGCAGGGCTCGACATTAACTTTTCAACTTACTAGCCAAGTGGCTAGTGCTATCTTAGATGTTATTAGATGTTACGACAATTTCAGTCTGTTTACTAGCCAAACTGGCTAGTGGAAATTGAAAACCACTGGCCAAAACTGAATTTCTACTAGTCTGTGGCTAGTGGGCTACCGTTACTGTTGAGCCCTGAAAGAGGTCAGAAATAGTTTGAGAAGATGGTACAACTCTTTGACCCCTTGTAGTGACTAGCATCTAATTTCTCCTTACAACACCACCCTTGAATCATGAATTAAGATCACAAGAATAAAGGAAATGATGAAAAATTAAAAAAACTCTTGATTGTTAAAAAATTCTCCTTGTCACCACCTTAGGTAATATGTAGAGAACAAGGTAATTTAGTTATTCAACTAAGTTGACATTGTTAATTGGTTAGTGTAAAGAACTAAAAAGCTGGCATTTCAAGCATTAGCCCTTCATCAAAGCAGAAAGTGGAGCTATGCTATTGGTGGGAACATGGTGTTTTTCTCGTCGCCATGTTCCCACTCATAGTGTAGCTCCACATTCTACACAGAAACACACACACAACCCACAATTCCTCCAATCACTCTGACAAAGGGCTAACGCTTGAAACATCAGCTTTTTAACTCCTTACAATGGCCAATTTACAATTTCAACTTAATTGATGTAACTAAATTACCCTGTTATCCCCATCAATGCAGCACCACAGTTTCTTTAGAAAATTACCCCCTTTTATCTTTGAATAGAGAACATTTGGGAGAATATAGATACTGATGTTAGGGAGTAAAGGACTCACCCAGCAGAACACTGGTGTATATCGCATCCTTCTACATTCATCATTCTTGGAATACTTGGTCCACATAAATCCACATCCAGTATTCCAACCTAAAAAACCAGAGGAAAGATTCTATCGTAACACTTTTGTTTCTCTTCACACAAACCCAACATTTCTAAACACAGTCAAATCTTTTGGGCCCAGTTGTTCAAAGGCCAATTAGTGCTTAGCCTGGGTTAAATTTTTATCCAGGTTTTTAATTGTGGGAAATTGTAGCGAATGCTGTTGGATATTGCTCAATACACACGAGTGTAGAGCGAAATACAGTTCGAAATGACTAAAATGAAACATGCACGAATCCCTGCTACTCTGAGTTTCATGCTTACACACTCGTCAGACATATTTCTATTTCCCCACTCAAGAGCCTTTTAAGGATAATTTTCCTTTTTCCTTTTGGAGCATCCAATCATCAAGTTGTTGACAAAAAGAATTAAACTGAATTTTATTTCAAAGCTTTCAGATCTGAGATCAACTTCCATGCTAACCCTGGGTTACCTTGACCCAGCCTTGGAGGATAACCCTAGAACCATCACAATTGTCCATTCATTAGCAATATCTAGTTAAGGGAAGTTAAGCAAGCTATGTACTTTTGAGTGATTTTAAGTGGCACAGAGAATTACCTGTCAAAGTGATAAAACTTTGAAATGGTCATTCTTAATTGGAAAAACATCAAAAAGGAAAAAGGAAGATAGATCTTTTCATTTTCAAGATCTCAATCTTAATTTTTCTTACTTTCTGTCACACAAGCAGTGCATGGATCCATTAAATACTCAGATCTAGGAAATGAAGGGTTAAATGCATGTACAGTCTGCAGAGTATGGCAGAAATTGACAAGACCTTGTATCTGCAGAGCAGCAATTCTGGCATACAAAATGATTGTTTCAAAACAACTTGTGTGTGCACCTTCCTTACCCAGCACACTGGCATGACGTGAATCTGGGATATTATAATGTGGATATATCAAGAAAGTTGAAATGGTAAATTGGCCACCATAACGATTACAAAAGCTGACGTTTCGAGTGTTAGCCCTTTGTCATTCGCTCTGACGAAGGGCTAATGCTCGAAACGTCAGCTTTTGTAATCGTTACGGTGGCCAATTTACCATTTCAACTTTGTTGATATATCCAAATTATTTCGTTACCCCCACCAACCCAGCCCCAACAGTTTTTTAGAAACTATCAGCCTTTATATATTATAATGTGACTGAGATTATGACTGGTTGAGGTCGTTCTGTAAAGAGATGAGTAAGAAGATTTTGTTGACCTTTTTTCCTTTGCTGTAAAGAGACCATGCAATTTGAGTTGTAACGGTACTTTTTCCAACTCCTCCTTTACCAGAAAGGACTAAAACCACATGCTTTATAGATTTCATTACATCTTCAATAGTTTGCGCCAACTGGCCGGCTGAAAATTCAACGAGAAATAGGCCAATAATGACGCTGTGATGATTCAAAACTTGAGGTATAAACTGGTTAATGCCACAAGATTTACGTTAGCTACAGGTAATGTTTTGGCTAAACTTCAGAATACCCGGCCATATCATTTACAAGTCATTGAATAAGAATAGCGTCTATTGTGTTATACCTCATTTTTCAAAGCCTCCCGACATATGTAAATGATGTGGACGGGTATTCTGAAGTTGCTCCAATGTTTTAACGAAATGTAGAGTTACAGTTACACGGTTTAGTAGTTTTCACGCGAAATTGACTAATGAAGAATGATGACTAAGCATTCCCTCCATGATAGAACAAATGGCGCTACTGACTTAAGATTGCGAGCTAAACCACGAATCAGTGGGAGCTACTGTAGTAGAAAAGATTAAGGAAGATTAAGGAAAAGATTAAACGAAGAAAAGATTAAGACAAACAGCTTACGACCACTTCAAGAGTTACTTATACCGTACTGACCATCCGCGCCATCCGCCATCTTAAAGTTTTACAGGATACTGCTGGTCTTCTTCTCCCTATCGTCGGCTCAAAGTGGCCCAGGCTATCTCGTCCGATCTCGTCCACCCTACCAAATAGGCTAGTTTCGAATTGTTAGTGCGAGAAAGTCTGGTAACTAAATTAAGAGCACCAAGTCGAGGCTGAGGGGAATAAGCGCTTATTTTGAAAGCAGATCGGAGAGACTTTAAGTGTGACATGAGGTTTTGTGCGATCGCTGTGTGCAAAAACAACTCTAAAAAACGGCCGGATCTCAACTTTTTCGAGTTTCCAGGCGAAGAGAGACTTAAAAAGAAAAATGGATTGCCTTCTGTCGTCGGGCTGATAAGGAGTTTACGTCAATCAAGAAGTTACACATATGCTCTGAACACTTTGAGACGAAACAAATCGTAAAGAAACTTTCTGGGATCAAAAAATTAGTACAAGGGACGGTTCCAACAATATTTAATCCATATTCACACCCTA